CACGCGACGTTTTAACCAACTAAGCTACCAGGCACACATGTAGTAGTTGATGAGTGATGAAATCATTCAGAACATATTTTAGAGATTTGTGTTTTCTCTTCGAGAAAAGCATTTCTGAGAGTTAAATCTGCAACGTAAAATGTAGCAAAATTAATTTTCTAAATTCTGTGTGCTGGAACCAGATTTTCAGAAATCGTTCTTCTGGATAAAAAACAGTAAATATTCTTTTTCATCCTGAAGAACGATTTGTACACAGTCGAGCCGAGCAGATAAAATTTAGGAAATTAAGTTTGCCATATTTTTGTCTCTAAACTCACCTTTGGAAAACTCTTCCTTCATGGTGAAAAATCAGAACTACCATCATTTACAGGTTTTCGGCATGAAGGAAGAGTTTTTCAAAGATGAGTTTAGAGACAAAAATATGGCAAATTTAATTTCCTAAATTTTATCTGCTGGGTTTAACTGTGTACAGATCTTCAGGATGAAAAACAATATTTACCGCTTTTTACCCGTACGAGCGATTTCTGAAAATCTGGTTCCAGCACACAGAATTTAGAAAATTAATGTTGCGGATTTAACTCTCAAAAATGAAAAAAGGAGAAAATACGAGAAAGCAGAAAAGTATGACCGTCGGACAGGTTCGAATCTACAAAGGGTTGTACTATTCTGCTTTCTTTCTATTCGTAGTAAAACTGATTTATAAGTTTATTCAAGTGTGTTTGCAGTTTTTAAGTTACGGTTTTAAAACTCTGCTCAATGCTCGATTCCTAAAAACTAAATGAATTTTCTTTTCAGAAACAGTCGTTTTGTCTCATAATCAAGATCAGACTTCATCAGTGCAAGGAGAAATAGAATCCCAATGTAGTGACGTTTCCTAGTACGTAATATTGAAAACAGTCGGATTTCTTTTCTATAGAGAATGGATAGTGCAAAAAGCCGTTTTAGACTTGATTATATATAATCAACACCAACAGCTTTGATCCGAGTTTTTCCGGGTAAGCTTATTCTTTATGGTTTTGACAGTTGCATACGAAGCAGTCCAATACTAAAGTATTCATGTTTTATACGAAAATTCTTCCGGAGGTTCATCCATACAAGCGTAGGTTTATCGTAACAAAGCATTTTTACAAAATTCCCGTAATTATTAGACTATTACAAAAGTCAGCTGAAGTATCTCAAAATAGTTTGTTTACATCAGCAGAATAAGCAGTAAACTTCTTTATATCCTTCCCAATCACGAAGGCATTGAGCAGTCTGGAATAGTTTGACCGGTTGGTTAACTGTAGAGATGAGATGCATAACTAACGTTATAGTTTTCCATTCTCTTTCTATAATATAAAATAGAAACCATTTTCTTTTCTGTTAAGCTATCCGTATATATTAGTGTTTATATCAGAGCTCCGTATTGAGTCCAGTCCAATCCGAGTGCATGAAATCCAAAAATTTCAGTCCAGCCCGGTCCATACGGAGCTCTGGTTTATATATAGTACTGTTTCGTTTGGACGAAAGGAGAATGAATAACGAAACTTTCACTTTTATTCATGTCATATATCTATTTTTTTTCTGTCTCTCTATGCGTTAATTGTTTCCGTGAAAGTGTGAAAGGAACATGTAAAAAAGATGCCACAAACTCAAGTAGCAAACTCAACCGCCCGATTCTAGCTCCATTTTTTTTGCTTGGGATATACAATATGACGTTTTTAAACACGAGCATGATATAAGGCGCTGCTAATCCAAAGTACGAGCACTATTTTATATCTGGTTTCCTTATGCACCACTCGTTAGAAAATTTTATGCTGATCAAGAATATCACTTTTTTAGCCTTCCCAGCGCACGTCTGCACTGAGAAAAGTTCGAAATACTCTGGGGTACTAAAAATCCAGGGGTATCGGGAAAAACCTTCGTGTTTCGAAAAAGTTGAATACTTTTCTTCTTTGTATTCTGAAGCTTTCAAACACTTTTTTCGGATTTAGCATTGAAAACTGAATTAGGAAAAGTGTTTTCGACGGTTTCCATATGTAATGTCCCAATGATCCCTTAGAAAATCGGTTGTTGAAAAGTAACTTCGAATAGCATTTCCGCTCTTGAAAAACTTTAAAGTCGTGGCTATCGAATGGACGTAAAGCACATGTCTTTGTCTCTTTCGTATCTTGGGTTATTTAAAAAATAGCCTAGGGCATTCTGTTTTGAAAATAGTAAAATGGGTCTGGTCTTAGAATAATATATCGCACAGAACTGGCCGACGTCTAGTTTTGTCGGAAAATCTTTACTCTACATTTCTGATGACTCAAAAAAATTTTGTCTATCCATACCTTTGAAATCCATACCAAAATTCAGAAAAGTAACAAAAAGATGGGAAACGCCTCGATCTATCCTTATCTCGAATATTTGATTTAAAGGTATATCATACTCGTGTTTAAAGCGTCATATTGTATATAAATCGATGCAGAATTATCTGCTCTACAAAATGAATTTAGTGCATTATGTCTAAGTTCATGATTTTATAGAGTAAATATCCTTCTTTCAAACAAGATATGAACGATTAATAGAACTCTGATTGTTTCTCAGAAAATTAGAAAATACGTGAAAATTCACGTTTTTTCGGTGCCGTCGGCGATCCCCAATAGCATGTTTTGTCTCTAATCTCTTAACAAAACATTTTAAGAAAGAGTTACTGCAAGGCTAGTGGACTTTTTGAATGTTCTTTCGAATGGCATATAAATAATGAAAAAAATTTTGCCTTCCGGACGTCATGGCTAGTGCTGGCGCCTCTTAATTTCTTTCTGAGCTGTGCCAAAAAGATTTTCTGTTCATTCTCTTTCCTGTGTATACCAAGAACCTGTTTTGCACTCCTGAACGCACTAAATACCATCGTACTTCGGATGTCATAATATGGAATTTACAAAAATCTGTAAGTTTTTTGTTAAGTCAATTGAATACAAAATTACCTGCGTTGGAATGTAAACAAGTATGTTAGCAAACAAGACCGTAACGTATTTTATGAGTGTTACAAAATACAGAGAAATTGTTTGGAAAAACTGGCGTCGAAATTCCTGTTCGCTGAAATGTCGGTGTGTCGTTATTGCCACTTTCTTACCTAAAGTGAAAGCAGAAAGTGTGAATAAGTGACTGGAATTAACTTTGGTTGGGAAGCGGCAATAGCTGCTGCATCCGAAAGTGACATTAGCTGGTAAATGACACTTCCGAATTTGGCAATTGCATCTTATTCCCACTTCTGTAAGTGGCAATAGACCCACCCAAAAAAGATTTGTTTGCGTCCATCAGAAGAGAGAGAAAGTTCGCATTAAGTCCCAGTAAGAGTAGAAAATGTGTAAGTGCGTTCAAGGATTGGCAAGTGAATAAACATCGGTTGAATTTAGTTCTCTTGAATACAGTCTAAATTCATCCATGGCACCCCAATATTGACCAGGAACTACCGGTGATGATAGACAAGTTGTGCCATTTAGAGGATTACCTATAATAATTGCCATCGCTGCACTACTCGCTTGATATGTAAATGAAGCCGATGAACTGTACAATGTTCCATTTAGATACATTCGAAGGCCATGTGTAAAACTGTATGTTTCAACAACATGTGTCCATGCATTCAATGTCAAAATGGGTCCTGTAATCGTAACTAAACTTCCATTATAACTCTGAGTAATAATTTGTCCCGATATACTCAAACCAATCGTTGGAATACACCAACCCAAACCGGTTGATGTTGATGCCATATGAACAATTGTCGCCCCACCCGATACCGTAGTAGGGTTTACCCATAATGCGATTGAATAGGATTGATTCACTGTACCTAACAGAGTAAAACCACTTCCTTGGAAATAACTCAATGAACTGGTGAACGAAAGCGCCTGATTAACACAACCAGTAACAGATGTAACGCTAACGCCTGTTCCGTTGATCCACAGAGGTCCAGAGTCTAAATATGAACCATTATCAAATGTATACCAAACAACAAGTGTGGCATCATTTAGAATCTCGGTGGCATTCTTAGCACGAGGAGTAAACACTACTTGATCTATGTAACCATTGAATGGATTAAACGCAACATTATAATTAACGGATGCTGTGCCTATCTCAAAGATGCCGCTGGTTCCTTGATATGGTCCGGATGGGGATGAGAAACCATCGCGAAGACCATTCAGTATCATTCATTAACGACAATGAGAAAAACCGACAGAACTTTTTTCTTCACTTCCTGACTAATCTGTTATATATCGTTCTGGTACGGTGTGGTAACATAGACGACTTGTGCACTTAATGTATAATCGTAAACACATGCAATATGATACCATTTGTTGGGTGTAAACCGTGTAGCACCTTGAGATCCGTCATTAAAAAATCTCATACGTAAATAGCCGGATGCTAATGCAAAATGCAGGCATTGATCCGTGGCAAGGGCTTGACATTGTGAGAAGATGCTATCATCAGCATTTGATGAAACGTTCATTGGATATATCCATGCTTCCATTGTTAAACTCGTATAAGCTAAATTTAGAACAGGTGTCGTTACTACAACAGATTGATTTAATGCACCTTGCAAACGCAACATCGACCCGTAGCCTGTGTAACCGGGCGAGATGTAAGTTGGATTATTCACCGCTTGACCATTATATATACCAGAAAAATCATTTGCATCACCATCAAATGTCCATAGAATCATAGTAGTAAACGGAGCATTTGTGGTTGTTGTAGCTAAAATGATAGTATATTTTTATAAAAAAAGGTCCGCACCCCTTGCCTAACGATTTTTACTTGTTGTTGTCGTGGTAGAAAAAGAAAAACACAATATCGTACAATTCCGAATCTGTAACTTCCTAATCCTTATAGAAAATAAAACAAGTATGAACATCCTCAGCACGGATCAAGAAGTATTTTTTTGTTGATATCTACGTGATGATGAATGTGAACACTTTTTGATAAGGAGAAAACTTTTGCTCTGCTTTTCACTTAAAATCCTTTAGGAAAAATCTTCATTAAATACTCTTAATAGCACAGCAGGATTCGGTTCAGTATGAGTCGTTCTGAGTTTAAGGCAGAAACGAAAGGATAAACACCGTTAGTTGTGTTAAAAAGTTTAATATTAAGCTTAACATTTAGTCAAACAGTCTGAATATATCGAAATTCATAGTGCAGAAATTCACAGAAATCACTCTTATATAATTTCTATGAACATATGTTTGTTTATAGCACAGACCCACTCTCGCAAAATAATGCGGCATCCCCAAACAATATTTCAATTGAAGGTTAAAACACTTTTACTGAAAGTGATAAGCTAGTGATGTGCAGAGTGCACTTACCCTACTCTCTTAAGACAAGGCCGTGTGCGAAACCTAAGAGGGTATAGAGAAATATTCCTAAGCCCTTTTAGGTTTCGTAGAAGCAAACGTACGGTACGAAACTGTTTTAAGTGGATTGAAACAACGATCATTTGCTTATTGTGTTATATTTTTTTCTCATGATTTTCTCGCAAAAAATCAAAAATTACGGAAGTTTCAGGTGTTTTTCAGGCTCAGTTCTCGCCGCCCTATACTATGAAATATGTCTAAGATATTGAAATAGTTCACTTGCCCAGAAAAAAAACTGCTAGAATATATGCACTAAAACGGTTTCATACCATACCTTTTCTTCTACGAAACCTAAAAGGATTTAGAAATGTAAATCGAATATAGAACTGCTATGAATTCAATATTCGATTTACAAATACTTATTTCCAACTGCTCTACCAACAGATTTAGAAATGGTTGCACTTCTATACCCTTTTGGGTTTCGTGCACAAACCTTTTTTTACAGAGTACACCGGCCACCAAAAACACTTTTGCTGAATGTCGCCTGAAGTCAACAGAGTAGGGCTTGGGTTTTGTTTGAGAAACCTCGATGAATTATCCCCTTGATTGTAAAGGAAAGGGTCTTATCGAGTTAAAATGCCTGTATGTATGTATGTTTGTTCGCAGACTAGATACTAGCGACACACAAACTAGTAGCACAAAACTTGATTCGATGAAAATGCTGTGGAGCAGGTAGTCGACTATAGGGAATCACAAAATGAGTGTGAGCGAACTCTAGGATCGGTTCTATTGGTCGAAATGCTTATCTCAACTTGGTTGCATGAAAATGATGTGTAGTGGGTAGTCGACGTATGGGAAATCAGAAAATGATAATGAGTGCCCTCTACGGTCGATTCCATTGGTGGGAAACTCATTTCCACTTGGTTAGATGGAACGCTACGGTGTAGGTAGTCGACTATGCGAAATCAGAAAATGACTATGAGCGACCTCTAGGATTGATGCTATGTGTGGAAAACTTCATCAGTGCCGTGGCTAAAGGGGGGGTGTGGGGGGGTGTAAGCTCCCCCTGCTTCTGGAAAAATTTTCTCTTTAATAGTTTTTCTTTCTCTTCAATAATTTTTCCTTTCTCCTTAGAATTCTGCTGCTTTTTTTTTTAGAGTTGAAAGGTAGCTGCGTTTTTTTTTTTAGAGTTGATCTCTCAGAAAAAATGCACACCCCTCCTGCTTTT